ACCAAATTTGGTTAATTTGCTCTTTGTGCTCATCATTGCACACTCCTATCATCAATATTGGAGCAGAGATCAGTGTCAATTAAATCTGGCTAAAAAACATTTCCATAGGTTTTTTTTGGTTGATTAGAACAAATCACCAAATGCGTTGCTGTGCAATCTACTCAGGAGTTTTACACTTTTCATATTATGTCTTAAAATGTATCAGAAATTTAATTGTCACTCATCCAGTCAGAGAGGTCATTGTACTTTGACCATTTTTAACTGAATTAAGGGGTAACACAAAGCACCTGAGGCAGATGAAGAAACAATCACAGTATATCAAGTTTCCTTTTCTCATAAAGATTGCAACCTGTTGCCTATGTGAAGAAAGAACAATTATATCCCATGTTTCATAAGCCAAAAAATTTTACTGATCTCGAAATACTTTGATTTCAGTCACCTGTAATGTAGGAAATACAGCAGCCAACTTGAGTACAGTAATCATCCACAAAAGGCAACAAGAATTATCATTAACTGATTAGTGATTTTCACTGTGGGGTAAATATTGACTAGGAGAACAGAGAGAACTATCCTCCTCTGTTTCAAGTAGATTCTTTTATGTTCAACTAAGAGGACAGAGTCTCAACTTAGTTGCTCATTTGAAGGATGGCATCTCCAACAGTACATTACCCCATTAATACTGGAGTATCAAACTAGCTAACTAAATGTGTGTTAGCTTGGTACATAGAAGACAACACTCTACTTAACAGTTAAGAAGCTGCAATTTTCCAATTCTCTCACAAGGTCACTAAGGAAATGTGAGTCATTGTGTTTGTATTGCAGGTGCCTGATAACAATCACTAGCTTCAGTGAAAGCCCTCAGATACAAAAAGCAGAGAGATTAGAAGTGGGTATATCATGTTCACAGTGGATAAACTTCCTTTAGCTTCCCCTGGTGGCTCAGTCTTGTAGTGACCTTCAGGTTCAGTCCATGGCCTGAGCTAAATAAGCAGATCTCACCTGTGATGGTGGTCTGGGCAATCCCTCAAAATCCAGTAAGATTATTTCTCAATACAACTTTTCTTTTTTCATCTTAAGAGTGGCCAGGTATTTGGTGAGCATTTAGATTATCTTAATAAACCAATTCTAGAAAGCATATTTCATCATCAAGCTGACATAGATACAATTCAACTCTGATTATATAAATCCAGGAGGTGAGCTATCTTTTTTAGAAAAATAGATTACATATAGATTTAGATAGATATAGTTTGTAGGGCCAAAGAAATCAAAGGGTTTGGGGAGAAAGTGGGAACAGGTTACAAAGTTGAATAATCAGTCATGATCATATTGAGTGATGGAGCAGACCAAATGGGCTAGTCCTGCTTCTATTTCCAATAACAAAGTGTAGAGCTGGATGAACACAGCAGGCCAAGCAGCATCA